TTTTTTTTAGTCATTGGACTCCTGGTATGACATTCTTGGATCAGCACTGGACTGCAAACCACAAGGTTGGCAGTTCAAACCCAGCAGCTGTTCCTCTAAACCCTGTCCAGGGTTGCCATGAGTCAGAACTGACTCAACAATACTTAAACACAACAACAAGTCATCATTTAAAATAAGTTTTCCATGTACTTTTGTCATGAATGTGTTTGTACTCCCTAATAGTTGAATGTGGTGTAGCATACGTGAATTATATGGAAACTCTTCATTATTTTTTACAAAAGTCCTATATCTTTGATGATTGTTTTTTTGTCAGTTTGATCAGTCAACTCCTAAGATAACCATATTTAAAATTTCCCACCATGTGGGTGAATTTGCCCATTTACCCTTCTGGTTTTGTTCATTTTTGCTTTATATATTTTGAAACTATATTAATAGAGCACACAAATGTGATTTGTTATGCTTTCCTTTATCAATGGCTGACTGGCAGTGTGCTGTTGAATTGGTTTCCAAAGCTGTAAATCTTTGCAGGAGCAGGAAGCTGCAGATTTCTCCCATGGAGTGTCTAGCAAACTAAAACTGTAGGCCTATGGTCAGCGGCCCAACACATGACCACAACAGTACCGGAGAGTAATCATCTCCGATCTTCAACAGTTCTAGCTTTCGCATCTACTTACCTGGTAGATGGAGCTACACAAATATTTTTATTAAACCAAAGACTTGGTTCTATCTTTCTCTGTATTTTGCTTTTGTCATTTCTTGGCACTGCTGTCTTATACAGGCTGCTCACCCAGTGAATAGCTAGATTTTTCTAATCCATTTTTAACTGGAATATTTAACCTGTTTACATTTATTATGATTATTGACATATTTGTATGACTTTACACTGTCTTTATTTAGTTCTATTTGTCCCATCTTTGTCTTTTTTGTCCCTCCCTCTTGCCTTTTTGTAGATTGGTCATTCCAATTTTCCCTTTCTTTAGAATTTAAAGAACTCTATTTCTAGAAATTTTCTTATTCCATTTTCCTCCTTCTTTAGAATTTAAAGACTGTTTCTAGATATATTAATATGTAGATATTCCCTCACAAAATCGTAAGTTAACACCTTTACGGTACTACAGCTTACCTAGTGATGAATGTCCTCATAGTTACCCATCAAACCATCTGTGCCTCCTAATGTTTAGTAATGCTAGGCTTCCGTCCAGCCACTTGTAGAAACCAATAGTAGAATTAAGATTTCGAATGTAGGCTCAAAAGCTTTGGTGATGGGAAATACATTTCTCTCCAGTTCATTCAAGCCTCAGAGCCCTCCCACATGCTTGCTATGTATGTTCCCACACTTTGAGCCATTTGAGTCCGGGGAGGATTGCCAATACCTTCACAGATGTCAAAGCCAATGTTTTCAAAGGTCCCAGGGGTTGATCCACCATCTTCGTCATGCCACCTGGATAACTGAGACACTTTGATCTTCTGTCTATTAATTGAAATATCAGAAATTCTGTTATGATCAAGGAGCAGGGACAAAGACACTGGGGCAAGCTATGTCTCTGCTTTTATCCCCCCACCGATGTACAGCTCCAGAATGGAATGGAGAAGAGAAGGAGTCAGCACTGACTTACCTGTACACTTCTCTCTTGGAACGGAACATGAACACCAAGAGCACCATAAAGATCAGCAGCACTATGACTCCCGCTGCCCCCACGAGTCCATACACCAGAGTCTTCTGAGTGCCCAGCTCACAGTTCTTCCCTCTGTACCAGTGAGTATCTGTAGTCAGGCAGCTGAGGGGGAAGAGACAGGGCAGGTGGAGAGCGAAAGCAGCCCAGAGTCAGAACTACAACCAGTGCCGGCAGCCTCCCAGCCTCAGAACCAGGCCCTGAGCCCATCCCAGATCCGAGGCAGATGGTCCACTTCTGAAGTTCTTCCTGTCTACCCCATGCCCTTTCAAAGCCCTGTTCCTTTCCTTTCCATGCCAACTTGTAAGCTTCCAAGAAGCCTTCCCAGAATAACTATTCAGGTTTTTGCATAATATGTGTCACTTTCTCCTGCATCTGATGTTCCACTTGGTCTCTCTCTGATTCCGTTTCAGTTGGTAACACCCTTCTTTACTTTGCTAGCTGGTTTCCCACCCTGCCCATATCTGTGTGTGACCATCTTTCCCCATTCAGCTAGCGGGAGTACTTTCTCTTCCTGGAAGCACTGTCTGAATTGGAGCTTCCAGAGACTGTGGCTTCTCTTATGCTTTCTGGGGATCTTGTCACAGTCCTCGGTCTGGCTCTCACAAAGAGGACACCTGGGATGATACCTAGACCTGGCCACACATCATATTTCTCCCCAGTACTTTTGTGGCCAGATGCTTGCGGGAATGACCCAGTTCCAGACTGTGACCTCTAAGCCAAGTCTTGAGCAGTGGAAGTTTTCAGGAAGAGGGAAGAGTTGAGTGGATGGGTGGGTGGGCACTCACTAGCACCGAGGACCACTGCGTTCCAGCTTGCACTGTCCAAAGTGGCAGTTCATGGAGGCTCTGAAGCCAGGCATGCAGGCACTGATGCAGTAGGGCTTCTGATCCCTGTATTCTATTAAGAAGTATTTGCCAAAGTCTTTTCCAGCCTTCTTCTGGCATTCAGCTGAGAGGACAGAAAGGAAGGGCCATGAGTAGGAGGTGAAAGGCTCATTCCAGACTTATCCCAGGATTCCCTCGCTCCTAGCCCTCCTGAAGCCCTCAGGTCACATACCTTCAGGGTCGTATTGGGTAATTTCAGTGTTGCCCACCTTGGTGGCATTGTCATTAAAACACAGTAAGTCTGAAAAGGAGACACATCAAGACCTTCACCATGAGCTTGTTTAGCGTTCCAAGGGACCAAGGTTCCTGTGTGTGTGTGTGTGTGTGTGTGTGTGTCTACTCCCTGTAGAGTGGAAATGCCAGCCTATCTAGAATGATAACCTTCCCTTTGTCCCTCTTCTTCCTCACCCACCTCCACCAAAATCACCACACTCTACTTAATAAGGCATGCTCATTCTGATTTCCCCAGGGCTTCCTGTCCCTTTCCACTTTGTGTAGGTACCTTGACTGAACATGCATGCATATAACTGTCTTTGCATCCTCCATGAACCTCTCCTTGAACTGCTCATCTGAGCCACAAGTCTAGGGGCTAATTCTTAGACCTTCAGCTTTCTCTTCCCTTCCTCTGGGCCCAGGGATACTGAGCATCTGAGAACCCGTTCATCTCCCTCCTTAGTAATCCAGGAGCTTACCTGAGCAGGTTGTAACACTGCCTATTTGCTTTCTGGTTAAATTCATGATTTTTTCCTCCACTGCCTTGGTAGCTGTGTCCATCACTTTCTGGAAATCTTGGGTGAAGTTGGCCTTGAGGAGGACTTTATGCTCCACCACCACGCTGCCATTCCTAAGAAAAGAGGAAGGGAATGCCTTGGATGTCCTCCCAGGTCAGAAACTGTGCTCAGTTCTCCACCCCCTCTCCATCTCCACTCCCATGGGAAGGCAGGGCTGGGGAGAAATGTTAAAATAATGACTCCAGTATTTAATGGATGAATGTTCTGAATTGAGCCTTGGAGCTCTGTTCTATAATCCTCCTCCAGGGGTCCTAGGTGAGAATCTTAGGGATAAAAATGGGAGAGAGGGACTGGGCCCATGGGAGACATTGTTCTCAGATGTCACAGACACGTTCAAACAGAAGGAAACTGTATAATGGTGGGCAAGGTGTCCCTAAGGGGACTTCAGCTATGGGATGGGGTGAGAGGTTACACCAAGGACTTAGTGGGGTGCTCACCCCTTGCAGAGGTGGGCTGCACTGGATTGTTTTGTACCACCGTGCTATTGGTGAATATCTACAACTATAAGCATAAAGAGCCTTGGTGGCGCAGTGGATCATGAGCTGGGCTGCAAGTCACAAGGTCAGCTGATCAAATCTACCAGTCGCTCCAAGGGAGACAGATGAGGCTTTCTGCTCCTGTAAAGATTGGCAGCCTTGGAAATCCTGTGCATGGTCCCTACGAGTCAGAACCAACTCAGTGACATACAACTACCAGAACCACCAAAACCTTATGCAAAATGTGAAGGTGCATATTTGTGTTTTTCTAATCATACACATCTTTTTCTCTGACCCCCCAAAGTCCAAAATCCCAATAAAAATCTCTCCCAATTCCAAGGTTCTCTGTTTGGGAAGCCAGGGCATTATCACAGCGCCTAGTTCCTTTTTTTTTGTTTCTCTTTCCAAACTCCAGATCCCACTTAAAACAGTCCATCCTCTTTGTTTTGTAAAAGTAATAATAATAAAAAAAATACAAAAAGGGAAAACAAAAACAAAAACACCCTTTTGAGTTAGTAAGCGTATATTCCTCTCTTTCTTTTGCTTTCTTCTCAATGTTATATTCAGAGAGGCTTAAATACAAGGGAGCTTCAAAATGTTTGTGGAAAAATTCCATTATCTTTTATTATTATTATTAATTATTAAATGTTTTTATTGTGGATTGAGTGAAAGTTTACAGGGCACATCATCAGCTTCACATTCAACCATTCATATGACTTATTTCATTTCATTGATTATTATCCCCTCCATATATCATCAGTTAACAGTGTTTCTCTCTATCCTCTTTAGCTTTTTTTTGGGGGGGTCGAGGGGAACTTGCCGTTTTGAAATTTACAGTCTCTTCTTTTAGGGAAGGTTTTTACATTTGTCTGTGGATATCCAGGGCTCATGTATGAGATTACTAACAAGCATTACTGAATAAACAGATGAGGGACAGTTTGCTATGTCTACTAGGTGGCTAAAGTCTGATCCTCAGAGCCTCCATTATCTTTTAATTCCAGTTTTCCACAAAGTTTTTGAAGCTCCCTCATAGAAATAGCAGATTTGAGGGCTATTTATGGACTATTGGAGTCCTAGTGTGGTGCTGTGGGATAAAGCACTGGACCGCAAGGTCGATTTGAACAACAAAGTCAATGGTTCAAATTCACCTTGGAAACTCTATACAGGGTCGCTATGAGTCAGAACTGACTTGAGGGCATTTAACAACAACATAGAATGTTAAAGTTGGAAGTGACCAGGAAGTATTCTAGTTCCAGTTATCTTTGACAAATAATAAAGTAGAGATCCCAAGAAATTTACTTGTTGGTGGGTATCCAACAGTACACAGGCCCCTCACTGTCCTTGGCTCCTGGCTTCAGAGCTCGAGTGGAAGGCAGCAGTTTTATCAAGCCAGTACTAATGTAGTGTGGAGTCCTGGTGTGGTGCCAGAGGATAAGCACTCGACTTCAAGGTTGGTTTGAACCACAAAGTTGATGTTTCAATCTCAGCAGTTGCTCCTCAGAAACCCTATATAGGGTCACTATGAGTCAAAACGGACTCAACGGCACTTAACAACAACAACTAGGGTAGTGGGAGTTAGCAGATTCAGATGAGATGCCAACACTGCCCTACAGAGTGGTGGAACCTCACTGCCCCTCAGTGTCCTTGTCTGTAAAGGACGGGTTGGACTAGTGTTATGGATTGAATTGTGTATCCCAACACCTATGTTGAAGTCCTAACCCCAGTACCTGTAAACCCTCCCTCCCAACCCTCTTTAGGAGTAAGAGTTTCGTTTGTTATATTAACAAGTTGTACTAATAATGGAACTGTTGTTAAGTGTCTTTGAGTTGGTCCCAACTCAGGATCAAACCCACAAGCCACTCCTCAGAAACCCTTTAAGAATCCTGTATAGGGCTTCTGAGGTATGGCTCGTGAGTTTGAACCACTGACCTTGTGGTTAGCAGTTCAGTGCTTATCCTACCAGGACACACTAGGACTCTTAGGAACAGTGTCGGGTGGGCCTAGACCTAAACCCTCCTGAGTGACAGCCTAATGAAAGAGCAGAAGGGACATGGGGGAGAGACCCCATAAGAAGATGCAATTGGTTGGATCTAAAAGGCTGGGAACACCATGGTCATTGATAGCTACTAGAAGCTAAAAGCAATGGCCGTCCCCAAGAGCCCACACCCTACATTCAGACTTCTAGCCACCAGAACTGTAAGAAAATAAGTTTTTATTCTCTAAAGGCATGAACTGTGGCATTTTTCATGGCAGCACTAAGAAAGGAGATAGATGGTTCCTAGGTGATTCTCATTCTCATCTGCCACCTCCCAGACCTTTCTAGAACCACTCTTAGGCGTGGGGGGCACTGTTGTTTTCTGGTGTGTCCAGGCACCTGCAGAACCCAATTCTCTTCCTCTCTTGCCTGAAGGAAGTGGAGTAGATGGGAGATAGCTCTCCGGTTCTCGGGACAATCTGAAAGGTCCAATTGGGAGGGGGGTCTGTGAGGGAGCAGTGAGTAGCCAACTACAGGATCATCAAAGGAGAGCAGCCAGGAATGCCTTCAGGCTAACTGCTGAAGCCAAGAACATAAAGTCCCTTTCATCCAATGAGCCCTGCCCTTGCCATCTCCCCATAGAGACCAGGAGGGCAGAACAGAGAAGGATGAGGTCTGGCAGAAGCTAGGAGACCCCTGAGACAGGCTAAAGAGCCCTGTGTGGTCAGCACAGGGGAGATAACACTTTAGGACCAAAAATAAAAATGTTTCTTTTATTAAGGGAGTTCAACTGCTAAGGATCAAAGAAGTGTACTCTTCCCAGAATCCAGGACTGACCAGCACACTATGCTGTGAGCCAACACTGGAGGGATCTGGAATTCCCACTGTAACATATTTGGGATGGACCCTCTTGTTGGCAAGAGATGGTTTTGTGTTAGGCAGAGCTGAGGGTTGAGGAGAAATGGAGGCTGGTAAACTCACCCCTATCTCCCACCCCCATTGCTTTTTAGGGTGTTGTTTTGTTTCCTCTTGGTTATAAATTCCTTTTAGAAACGATCAGTTTGGACTCTGATAAACCATGAGAAAAGATATTTCCTTCATAGTCCATGGCCTGCCATGGGGGTCATGCAAGTTCACTGGCCAGCACCATTCAAAGTCGGGATCAAAAATAGGAAAAGATTTGATGGCAAGAGAATCCAATCCTAATTAGTGGAGTTGTATTCAGAACAACTGTGGGCTTGAACCCCTTTTTCTCTGGGGCTTTTCTTCCCAGGTAAACCTTTCAAGATCTGCCTTCATCTCTGAGGACAAAATGGGACATCCCTCAGATAAGCAAATCTTCCAGATTTTCTGGCTTGTTGGTCTGTTTATTGAATCTCCATGTTACCTGTCATGGATTGAATGATGTATCCCCAAAACATATTCTGAGGTCCTTACGCCCCTGGTACCTCGTTGTCTATAAACCTAACCTTGTTTGAAAATAGGGTCTTTTCATGATCTTTATGACTCCCTAGGAGCCCCAGATACTCACGTTAGGTTTGTGATTAGGACACCGTCGTATTCGGGGATGTCATTATAAGCAATAGCCATCTGAAAGGCAAGAGGGCCACCATGTCACCCACAACTTCCACCTGAGACCCGCCAGTCCTTTCTGGAGACTCCCAAGGGGGCAGAAGCTGGACCACCCTGTACTGAAGCACCCCTGGAAGTGCACACTGTATGGATATAGTAGGCTCTATCCAGATACCAGCCTGACCCCCAGTGGAACTGTGCCTTGACCTTCTTCTCCCCGCTGGTAAATGCTGAGGATGTGAGTGAGCTGAGAAACTCACACACGTCTAATAAGAGAAGGATCCCAGACTACTTTTTCACCCCAAGTGGCCATGGGACCTTGTCCTCCCAGCCTCACCTGTTTGGCAAATGTCTCCGTGAAGTTCTTAAATTCTATAGAAGACTTGTTATTTAGCTCTTCAGTAAACTCCTTACTTGTCACTGTCACAGATAGTCCCACCTGGGCAGTTACTCTCTTTGGTGGAGATTCTGAGAGGGAAGTCAGACAACACCAATGAGTACAGTATCCCTTCTGAGTCCCCAATCAAGAAGACTCCAAACCCCAGTGGCGCCCCCACCCCTACTCCCCAGGTGCCGGGTAGTAAGAGCCTTCTACAACCCCTGTTCCAACCCACTGCCCCAAGGCTTTGAATTTTCTCACCCAAGTTCCCCTGGAGGGAGAGGAGCGCACACTACGCCCAATGGTTTTGGAATGAAGCCCAAGAGACCTCGGGGCCTTATATGTGATTCTAGAATGCAGTGTAAGTTCTGCATCTGTTCCCTAAATACCCATTTATTTAGGAGTCTTTCATTTAGATCTGTGCCAAATGTGTATATTATTCCAATATACCATTTTTTTTTTTTTTAATGTTTTGCATTTCTTGCCCCTGGAGGAGGCTCTATTCCTGTCTCTGCTTGGAACTGAAGTGGAAACATGTCTAGCATGGAGGCTGGGCTCAGAGGAGCTCAGAAGATGGTCCTACAGTCTCAGCTTACCGATCTCGATGCTAGTCATCAGCTTGTCACAGCTGGATCCTTCATAGGGTGGAGTGCAATTGCACTTGTCTCCATCCCAGATGCCTCCATTCTTGCAGACGTACTGGCATTGATTTCCGCCGAAGCCGTTGAGGCAGTCACAGATACTGTTGTTCCAAGTCCCTCCATTGAGGCAGGTCCCTGAAAGGGACAAGGCTATGCTTGTATAGCTGCACCACATTTCAGAGCTTGTGACATGGTTTCAATACACTGTTAGGGATTGAATGGTGTCACCCTAAAAGACCTTGCAACTTGTTTGGAAATAGGGTGTTTAAAGATGTTAGTTAACCATGTGAAGATAAGTCTACAAGCTAAGGAATATATGAAGTTACCAGAAGCTGGAAGAGACCAGAAAGGTTCTTCTAGAATGGACTGAGAGAGCATAGTCCTAGCAATGTCATGAACTAGGATTCGCAGCCTCCAGAACTAGGAGACAAGAAGTTCTTTCAAGCCAACCGCTTTGTGGTATGTTGTTACCGCAGCTCCAGAAGACTAAGACAGGGTCTAACTTGATGCTCTCATGAAACCTGCGGGTAGGTAGGATGGTCAGTGTCGTCACCACTTCACAGAGAAGTGAAGCAGAGAGGAGCCATACTACCTGCCTGGGACTTCACATGGGGCTGGACTCCACCTGGTCTTGGAGTCCTAGGCCAACATTCTTTATATTAGACCCCAAAAGAGTGAGGAAAGAGAAGCCTCTTCTCTTTCGGAGAGGTGCTGGACAACACAGTCAGGCTTGACAAAAAGGACAGAAGCAGATACTGAGAGGACCTAAGGGTTAATTTGGCCTATTTAGTTCCAACAAGCTTAGGAATGAGCATTGTTAGTGTTCCTTTGGTGCTTGCTTCAGGAAAGCCCATTTTAGAAGCTGCCATTTGTGGCTGTTTATGATTTTTATTTGATAGGAGGTAGAGTTTGAGGGCTGGGGTGGTGCACTGGACATCCACCAGACCTACACAAACCTGCCTTGCCTCTGCCCCCTTGGGTTACCCCTTGCCAGACTCAGAACCAGGGCCATCCACATGACAGTCACACCATGCAAACTCTATTGATAAGCTTTTGGCCCAAGAATAGATGAGCCAAGAGTCTTGGGAACAGTGTTGTTGTGAAGTGCCCTTGAGTTGGTTCTGACTCATAGCGACCCTGTATAAGAGTTTCCAAGTAGCGATTGGCAGGTTTGAACCACCGACTGCTGTTAGCAGTCAATGCTTATCCTACGGCACCATATCAAGACTCCTTGGGTACACAGGAGACCCAGAAATCCTAAACCAGTCTCTCTCTCTTCTTAATCTGAGGATAATACAGATATAGCAACAGGTGTGGAGTGGAACCGGGTTATGTCTATTTTAATTAGATTGGAGAGAGCTGAGTAAAAACTTCTAGAGTCTGAGAAAATAGGGAGAGATAAGGGCAGAGAAACACTCTGAAGCATGTTGGTAGAATTCAGAGCTGAAAGAAATGAATAAAACTTTCAGGAATAAGAGGAAACAAAATAGAAATGAATGGTGGTAGAGAGATAGTTCTACGGTCTGTCTTCCTTATTAAGGAAAAATAATAAGGAAGATGATAGAAGAATTGATGCATTGAGTTTGGAAGAGAATATTGAAAGTACCATAGACTGTCAAAATAACAAATAGATCTGTGTTGGAAGAAATACAGCCACAGTGCTCCTTGGAAGCCAAGATGGACAGACCACATCTTTCATACTTGGAACATATTGTCAGGAGGGAGCAGTCAGTAGAGAAGGATATCATGTTTGGTAAAGTGGAGGGTCAGAAAAAAAAAGAGGAAGACCCCCAGTGAGATGGATTTGCAGTGTTAGCATCAATGGGCTCATTGTGAGACTGACCCAGGATCAGGTAGTGTTTTGTTGTGTTGTACATAAGGTCGCTATGAGTCGGTAATGACTCAATGGCACCTAACAACAACAAGAGAGATAGTGGCCACCAGGATAGGTGGATGCCATTGTCAAGGTCCTGTTATATTTAAAAAATCTTTGCATTTAAATATGAGCAAAATTAACAAGAAAGCCATTAAAAGATATAAAAATACAAATGGAAGATAACAAAGTTACGTCATACAAACAAAACTACAATGGATATGTTGTTGTGTGCCTGCAAGTGAATTCTGATTAATAATGACCCTGTACAGGGTTTCTGAGGAGCAACTGGTGGGCTTGAACTTCCGACCTTGGGGTGAGCAGTCTGGTGCTCATCCTACAGTGTCACACCAGGACAAATGGTATAAAAGGAGAGAATAGGATGTGTTGAAAGTTTAACAGGGATTGAAAGAGAGGTAAACCATTTTATATGAAAAAAATGTAACTAGTGAAGTAACAACAAGAAAGAAGGCAGAAAAGTAAGTAACAAAAATGAAGTATCTTTATCTAGTGGAACACGAGTAAAGCAAAAGGGGCTTATGGCGACTAAAGGTTTAATAGGAACACCACAAAGCAGGACAGAAACTTGGAAAGAAATGCAAGTTTCCAAGAATAGAAGTGAAAGAGAGAGACTTTGCAAAATTGCTTACCTTTTGTGGTGGTTGGAGAACTAGACGTTATGGTGGGGATGGTTTTCGATGTAACAGTGGAGGTAGAGGTAAGGCTAGTGGTGATGGAGACTGTGGTGGAAACCACACTTGGTGTTGCCTGGCTTGTTTGATCTGTGGTGGTAACAAGCCCTGGGGTCACCGGCATGGAGGTGTCAGATGTTGTGGTTGGTAGACTGGAGTCAACAGACGTCCCAGCCGAAGAGGTGTGAGGAGTAGGTGTTGAAAGTGTGCTGCCTTCTGAGGGGATGAGCACAGAAGTGGTGAGGGTTGCTGTTCCCTGAGACGTTGGAGCAGATGTGATGGCACCACCGAGAGTTGTAGTTGGGGTGTTGGTTCCAGAAGAAGTGATTGTAAGTGTGGTAGTGCCAGGAATAGTGGTACCAAGAGTGCCTCCAACTGTAGCAGTTGTCACACTTATTGTGGTGTCTTCCGGGTCAGTAGGAGATGAGCTAGCTTCAGAAGAGGGGGTCAGAGTGGTGGTGGGAGAGCTAGAGACAGTGGAGACAGTACTGGCCTCAGTGAGCGAAGCGGTGGTGTCAGGTGGAGTTGACACAGACATGGTGATGTCATCGGTAGTTGTAGTATAGGAGGTGGTTGCAGTAGAAGTAGGCCAAGGTGTGAGACTATTCGGATCAGTTGTTGAAGGAGTGTTTCCTGCTGCTGTAGGAGTTGACTCAGATACGGTGGTGTCCCCAGAGGTTGGAGCATTTACACTGGACCCAGGAGAAGCAGGTGTTGGTGTGTCGGTGTTGGTGATACCTGTCACAGATATCACTCCTGATGTTGTAGGATTTGAGTCAGATATGGTGGTGTCCCCAGAGGTTGGAGCGCTTACACTGGACCCAGGAGAAGCAGGGGTTGGTGTGCTGGTGACAGTGATACCTGTCACAGACGTGACTCCTGATGTTGTAGGATTTGAGTC